CGTGACTCTGACACCAGTGGCTTTTCCTCCTTGGGCACAGAGTCAGTGAGGCTATCCCAGAGCCGCAGTGTGTGTCCTATTCTGTCTGGCCAAGCTTCCCCAGCACTCCTGAGTCTTTGAACAGACCTGTGGTCACATTGGCAGCCAGTATACCACACTACAGGTTTCACCTTCACCATGTTTGTGAGTGCATTCACATATTTTGTATTCAAATGGTTACATACAGGTCTTTTTTTTTTCTCAGAAAATAGGTGCAGGAATTCAACCACAATCCTAATCCCTAACACACACACACACACACACACACACACACACACACACACCCTTTAAAACAATTAGTGTGGTCAAATTTCACTAACAGTGGGAGGGTGCTAAAGAGGCATTAAATACCAGGAATACATTTACAGAATACATTTACAGTACAGAGTTTGGGGGAGAGGGGGTAATACACAGCTTAGATCAGGAGAGTGCTATGTGCAAAGCTCAGGGGTGCACTATATACATAGTTCAGAGTTCTGGGGAGTGCTGCATACAGAGTGCAGAGTTCATGGGTACGCTACACACAGAGTGCAGAGTTCAGCCTACTTCTACAGCTGCCTATCTCTGAATCCCCATCTCACTTTCACCCCGCTTCAGCTCTGACCTCAGCATGCAACCCCCCCCCCCCACTGCCATCATCAACCCCCCCCCTCCTTAAAAGCTCCACCATCTTTCACATGTCTTACTTTTTTTGCTGTAATAAGCTGAAGCGCCCACCCAGCTCTCCACACACACTGTAGGTGGTTCAGCCTCTCTCACTTGCAGGAAGATCATCCAGTGGGGGTGTTGGAATCCACACTGCACCCCAGGCTCCTGCATCTCTGTTGCTCCCATGCTGCACTCAGTGGGGGCTGCTCAGAAGATCAGATCTGTGGGAGCCGTTGGGAGAAAAGCTGTCGCTTGTAAACACAGAAGCCAGACTACTGTGTTTACCAGTGATAGTGGGGAGCAGAGGGACTGAGACAGAAGTGATAGAGATCCACCAAGTTCCGGCTGAAAAAAAAGCCTAGGTTACATATACTCACTGCACTATGATCTTTTTGCTCTGAATTTCTCAGTCTTTAAGGCTCCATGCACACTGGTCGTTTTGACAACACTAGCTGTGTAAAGTCGCATTAAAAACATGAGTATTTTTTAGCGTTTTTGCATTAGCGTTTAGTGGGGTTTTTCCGTGTTTGCATTTTTTTTTTTTTTTTTTTTAGCATTTTTCAGTTAAAAAAAGTCCAAAAATGCCAGTATGCTGCGTTTTACCACGTTTTTCAACGTTAGAGCATTTTTACAGCTAAAAAAACTCCTCTAGAAACCCACTAGTCTTGGGTTTTTTTTCCAGACAAAAAACGTCCATGCCAAAAAAATGTTGATTACAGTCTTTGTACATGGACACCTAGGATAACATGCTGGGGAGTTTACTAACTGTAGAAAAAAACGTAAAAAGCAGCTGTAAAAACGTCCAGTGTGCATGAGGACTTTGTAAGCATATGAAACACCCCTAAAATAAATAACAGACTATGTCTGCAATGCACCAAAACGCATGGATGTAAATAGAGCCTTGCTTTTCTTACAATGCATGCATGGTTTCTGTATAACATGCTATAATGAGCAACAGTATAAAATGGTTCAGTGAAAATACAATAACTGTATGTGAGGAATGGCTGCCACAAAGAAATGAGTTAAAGTATTTTGGTACAAAAAAAATCTAATTGAAAAAAGCTTTGTTGATACTATATTACACACTACAACATGTATATTATTTTACAAAAATTAGATGGAGGATGGATTCTTAAACTTTTAACCTAGTTTGTGTGTCAGATAAAAAAGCAAGCAATCATAATGCAGAAGAAACATGTTAGCAAAAATCCATAAACCCTTGAAAGTGGGCAATGCTAAAAGCTTACTCTGTGCAGAGAATCTGCAATTATCACATAAAGCATCAGCACAATAGGAGCCATGCCAATGATCTTTGTGACATGAACTTATTTATGATTTAGCATTGCAATTGTTTGCAATTGACCCTTTCTGTATTACACTCGGTGTCCATTAGATACATTTAATAGAAACAAAATCTGATACATTGAATGAAATACAGTTTGAAAACATTAGAGCAAATTTTGTCATTTTATATTGAGTTGAATTTGTAAAAACATAAATACTAGCTTATTGCTATATATTCATCTCTTGCTATTTTTATTACAAAAAATGAGTCCAGTGAATATGTATAAAAACAGGGAAACTCCACTTTCCTAATAAATATCCCTTATATGATTTCTAATAGTGTTTACAAACTTAAAAATTGTCATATTTTATCTTATGCCTAGTACACACAATGAGAAAAAAATCAATTTAAAAAAAAAAACGCTTTTGGAATGATCGTCTGATAATCTGATCATTGGCACACAGCTTTCAGGAGCTGATCATGACAGTTCGTGCCAAAATATCTGAAGGGACAAGCATGAAAATGTTTCTCATAAGATAATAGAACAAAAGTTTTTTTTTCATGTGATTTAGTGCAGTGTTTGAATGAAAAAAGTGACCAAGACCATGCATGCTTGGAAAGGGGAAAAAATACATTACATCACTTCCGAAGTTTTATTCTGCCTTACGACAATTTTTGTAACTTTAGTGTAATGGCCTCCAGGCTGTTTTTTTTTTGTTTGTTTTTTTTTTAGGCAGAGGCTGGGTATCCGCCTGGGAGTGAGGTAACCTCAGGACAGTCTGGGAGGCTCTAACAGATCAGGGCTTCTGGAGCCCTCGCACCTTTGTAGAGAATTGAGAACTTTCTGGAACAGAGCAGGAGGGGAGAAGGCCCAGATATGCATGTTTGAGGGACTTTGGCCAATTCCCTGGCAGGAGGCTGAGCATGGTGACCAAGGCAACCCTCAAATATCACAGAGCCTGAAGAGCAAAGTCAGACAGATGGAAGATGGAGTGAGGAGCTGGAGTTTGGAGCCTGAGAGGGATCCCCAGGGAGGGTGCCTACCAATGGGCAGTTGCTGGAAAAGAGGACCTCCACTATCTGATAGGGAGGACATCCTGAGAAACAGGGAAGGAGCCAGCCCAAGAAAGGCCTGAAGGCAGCTACCAACTCACTAAGCTGACAGAAAAGGACAATGTGAGTACTCTTTCACCCCCTGGGCTGGATAAGGGGTGAGGGCAGTCATGTGGAAAACCCAACTAGCTTCTCACCCAGGACTGCTTGTTCTAAATGGGCAGCTTCTGGAACCCTTGCCCAGGGATACCCTGAAGACACCTGAGTGAAGAGGAGTAATTATCCAGGGTCTGAGGAGGTACACTGAAGGGGCTTTAGCACCCCTTAAAGAGACTGTTGCTATTCACATTTGTGTACATTTTGTAGTTGCTAAGGAGTTTGTCTAAGTTCTACAGTACCTCCGAGCATCCCATATACCCCTAAACCCCATCCAACTTCTAACCCTCAATAAAATCACAGAACAAAGCTCAAGGACTGTTTTACTGAGTCTAGAGTGCAAAGTGTGAAAAACGCATGTTGCCTGGCTGTGCTTAAGGGGGACCCAAAACTCAATGACTCCTAAGGGGCTAGTGCTACTTAAGTAACCTTTTCATTTTTGATATGAGACTTACATGCAAAAAGAACTGATGATCATTCATCCGTTATTCTCATTGTGTGAACTATGCCTTAGATAGACCTTTTGATTTACATTTCTGTTAAATCCAATTCAGACTCTATGAAAAGAAGAGAGTTTTTATGGTTGCTTTAAACTGATTTCACACAATACATTGTATTTGTACACTCTCAATTAGATCTGTAATAAGTTGCAAAGTATATGGTCAGCATCCTTTTTAAAAACTCATCTGCAAGTCTAAATTTTTATTCGCACTTTAGATATAGGGAGAAGGTATTTTGTGCAGTATATAACATTTGATTTGGTGCTGTAAGCAACTCGATCATGCATTTATACCCCAATGTTTATACAGAAAGCACCCCCTGGTGGCATTTGATAAACCAGTTCCCACACCAGGGAGCCTTCTGCAAATTTTGAGCTTGAGAGGTTGGGTTACTTCCTATTTGTAGCTGGGCTACTTGTCACCATATTGCGACCTCCAGGGCCTACCAGTTTGTAAATACTCATGTGGCCCAAACAGTAGCAAACTCAGTCTACAGAGTGATTTACATGGTTCATGAACATAGTTCTGAAAAAGACACCAGTACACCTGCCTTCACTGTTCATACTCATCCCAATTTACCCATTAATGGAATGTTCAGTCAGAAAACATGCTTTTCTGCTTACTTTACTGAATGGTAAAATGACAATGCATGAAACAAAAAATAGCTAAATATTTAAATGCTAACATCTCTTCCACCAGTTCAATATTCCTGCACTGCAATCACAGAAATCCTCTTAAATCCTAGTCTCCTAAAAGACTGAATTAGGCCTAGAGCTAGGGCATGCATAGAAGACACATGGCTCGCTTACTACCTCCTGCTGAGCTCTCCATGGTTCTGCTATGCTGATGCACCACCGCACTAGTAACTGCACCAACTGTATGTGTCTGTGTATATATTCTACGTGTGTGTGTGTGTGTGTGTGTGTGTGTGTGTGTGTGTGTGTGTATGTATATTATATATATATATATATATATATATATATATATATATATATATATCAAGGATAAAGTAAGACTGTCTGTCTGCAGACAGGGTAGAGCTTCACCTTTAAAGAGGGGAACTAACACGTTTACAGACCTATCTTATAACATACAGCAGTGTCATGTGTCTATCGTCCCTGTTAACACCACTTTCTGAAATATGACTGCTTTGGGAGTAGTACAATTATTACTACAGAAAATAACCTTTTCTCAGTTAATGTCTGTGAGTGAGTACTTACTTTGAATAAAATAACCGCAGTTGTACCTAACCAGTATTACCATTTACTTTTATTTACCAGGGTTATTATTAACCAACATATTTCTATTTTATTTTCTAGAGCTTGACACAACTGGACAGGTGCTGTTTGCAATTCTAACATTTATGTCAGTAATTGCAGTTGTAGTGTTTATAGAAGAAGCATGTTACATGTACAAAAAAATCCCTGGAGCCAAAAAATCAATAATCATCTGGGTGAATGCTGGCGCCCCAGTAAGTACAACTGATATATAATTGTAGGTCCCTTTTTTATCGGTACACAAAAATGAGAGCTGAGCAAAGTTAAAAAAGTTCTCCCTCCCCAGAAGATACAAGTCTGATCTACTAGGCATATAAGCTACAGTATGTAATTGTGCAAGCTTTGAATCATTTCAGGTCGTGCACCTGTTCTTGTTTTGTATGGTACATAAGGGTTAAAACTGTTTGAAGGCTTTTATTCCTGTCTACATCAACCCTCATGGTTTGTCCTGGTGGTCTGAGTCACAGGACAAAAATCAATTTGAAATCCAAAACTTTAAAAAAAATTGTGGTTTCCATCAGAACAGGAGGTGGGGAGATGTCTTCCCAATGGAACACCTGCTCGAGATTTTAACTCACTTTGAGCATATTTCTATTTATTTCCTGTTGTGTCTCTAGGACAGAAAAAGGAGACTTTGTCCAAAAGGGCACAGGGGGAGATTCAAACTCTTCCATACCCAATCCCAAACTAAAAAAAACAAGTTTTGGCTTGAGTTCTACTTCAACCCCTACAAGATGTATGGAAGGAATCATCGGGACCTGTAAAGCGGTCTTATTACTTCTAGGGGGTGCAGAAATCCCAACATAGAAATTTCCACCTACCATCTTTTTGCTGTACAGTTCCTGTGCTTTCAAAAATATACCATGTTTTAGGGGTTATACATATTATTCTTCAGGCCAAAAATAAGATTTTTGGCATGTGTAAAAATCGTAAACTATTGGTCCAGCAGGAGATAAGATTTTTGGGCTTTAAAATCTGTAAAGTATACATCCAAAACTACTTGAAAGCTCTCAGCTTTTTTATACTAAAAGGTATACATGGGCACATTTGCCCTTTTGCCATAAAGACACTTTATTTTTCTAGTGTTCTGGATGTCCTAGAGCTACTTACAGCTGTTCTTTAAACATGGGTGTTTTTGTTTTGCTACGAATTGACTTTTGGAGGAAAATTAAATTTTTTGGCGATTCGGATATATATGAATCTCCAAATGAACATAGGAACAAATGCCAATGAGTCTGAAAAAGTTATAACAAAATTCACAAATGCATTTATTCGGACGATGTCAAATGATGTGATAGTAATTCGGTCCCATGAGGAAATTCATTCAACTTTCAATTTTTATTCGATAATTTTTGTATTTGTGTACATTTTGTGATTAAAATTTAATTTGTAATTGTTACAGTCAGTCAGTTCAATTCCACAGTCTAATCCAATTCTTAGGTTTGAAAAATGTGGGGCCGCTTGCATTATATTTATTTAGTTGCATCCTAAAATATCGAATAGTTTCGATATATGAATAATGAATCCACCTAAAATATTGAAACCAAAAAAAAATCTATAGCAATCTTCTGGAAAAAACTGCACATTCACTTGGACCGACCAACATACGAAATTAATGCAGAGGATACGAAACAAAACAATTCAACATAACAAAATTGACAAAACGAAAATCTTCAACGAATTAATGCATCCGAAATGAAACAAATGAGAATTTTTGGTGTACACATGTCTACCGCCCATTGACATGAAGGCTATATGCACATGGGCACATTTACCCATGTAGTGTAAAGACACTACACTGCATTTTTCTTTTCTTAGATGTTGTAGATGCTGCTTACAGCCACCCATAGACATAAATGGATGAAGGCGGCTGTACATAATTATTTGCACAAAGTAACACATGCGCACAGTTTTAATGCTTATAAAGTATTGCATTATGTCTGTGTGCATGCGCTACCTTCACCAGTTCATGTCTATGGGTGGTTGTGTTCACCTCTAGGACATACAAAACACCAGTAAAACTGCATGGGCAAATGTGCCTATGTGCATGTAGCTTAAATGTAAAAGTCCTAGCTAATAGCTAGCTGCACAAAAAGTCTGTTATTACCATCCTTTCTTTTTTTTTTTTTTTTTTTACATTTTTTTTTTAAATACAGAAAAGCTTTTTCTGTTCCTGGTTAACCCTGGTTTTAATTTGTTACTAAGCAATATTCCTGCAGGTAAGCTCCACAGCTACAAGAGAGCACCTCAGTGGCCAAAAAAAAAATCACTCTTTCTTGTTGAAAAACCCAGCCCTAGTTTCTGGAAGGATGTGTTTTTAGTAACACAGTGAAACAAAGGAAAAATAGGTACTTTTTAAGGTTCCTTTTCTTAGACAAGACTTCTATTTTTTACATTTAAAATTACTGGCAAGTTTGAATTAAGCTCATTCTTACGCAAGATTGCCGGTAAGATCTCCAAAACCATCCAATTTAAGACCTAATGTTTATATTTCCTGAAAAGTTTTACATATGATGTGTCAACTTTCTTCTGGATTAATGTTTATTACTATTTTTGATGATGCAATGAGGAAGAATGTTCCTGTTTCCTCTAAAGAAACCTGTAACCCATATTTTTGGGTTTGTGAATTCTAACACAATATAGGAAGGTTGTTTGGCCCATATATACCAACACACAGAGACTATTAAAAAGGGTACACCACATTCTGTGTTATGCTGGTCCTAATCCTTGGACCTTTAGCAATTCCTTGCTATTGGGGTAGAAATAATATGTATGTAAAGGGGATCTACCCACAGTGATTAGTAAACCATATACTTTAATCTTATATGTCAGAAAATTAAGATCTCATTGTCTCCAATGCATGTTTTTGCCTTTTAAAATGCACTCTCTTGTCATTGTGTTTGCAGATAATTACTACAACATCATGCGTGGGAATGTGGATTCCTAGAAGTACTATGTTCACAGACTTCACTGCTTCTGTGTATGTATAGTAAGGCCCTTTTTATATATACAGTATTAATCTCAGTAATATTGCCTTGCATTTTCTACAGTGTTGTAGGAGCACATTGCATTAAGGGTCCTTTTACATGGAGAGGACCCGTTTAGCGGATCCGCTTGCTCATCGGGGGGGATCTCTCCGCTGATCCCTGCTGAGCAAGCGGATGACCGCTCTGTGTCTGCTCTGCTGCTGCAGCGCCGACACAGAGCTGCTCACTCTCCTCAATGGGCGGTCAGATGAAAACAGACAGCCTGTCCATTTTTCATCCAACACAATCCAACAGACAGAAAGGGAATTGGATCCCTATCCATCCCTTTTTGGTGGATTGGATCGGATGTTGGTGCCACTCCATAGAGGAGAATGGACAAGCAGACCCGATCGGACCGTCCGTGTGAAAGAGCCCTAAAGCAGAGAATCCCCCTTCTATTACATCTTCCATGTTTTACAAACAAGAAACTGTTTCCCTTTTCACTTCCTTGAGTTAATTTACTTAAAGTGGAACTTCACCCAAAAAGGGCAGCATCTACCTGGTTTTCAGAGATGCCTCCTATCCATTCTGCCCGAATTGCCTTGGCGATTGAAGTGGAAGTTCACCCCCATCTTTGCCTGCAGCATTCTGGGACAGAATCGGAAATTTTGTGCATTCTGTAACCCGATGGTGCCACCATTGATTTTGAAATTCGACCAACAAAGCTTTTAATTTCACTTTTATGTTGCTACAGAAAAGCATTTTCGTGGCCAAGAATTTTTTTTCTTTTCAGGTCACAGCTCGTGCTGTTTTCTTTTTCAATTACATTTCTGACACAATTCTCACATCATTGATTAGAAATTAATTAGTTTTTCTAAAAATTTCCAACATGCCTGATCACACAAATTCGATCGCTCGAAAATCTGCCGTTTTTGTGGCCTACTAATGATGCGAAATTAGAATGAAAATTCTTAGAAAATTCTTTCATAATTCGACCCATGTATGGCCAGGTATAGTAATAATGCAGTGACATGGACCCAAAGACTGGTGAAGAAGCAGCTGGGTGAGGACAGCACTGGATCCCTGGACAGGCCAGAGTCCTTTTCTTAAAAGTCAGCAGTACAGTATTTGTAGCTTCTGATTTTTCCTTTTTTTTTTTTTTTTTTTTTTTTTTTTTTTTTTTGGGGGGGGGGGGGAAGCTCCTTTTTGAAGTATAATTATTATAACCAATATTTTCAACCAATTGGAAAAAAAAAATATTACCCCCACACATAAACACACACACACACACACACACACACACACAGCATACCCCCTGGTCAATCTGAAATGAACAAAATAAAAAACATTCACATGAGCTAATGCAATGTTTGAGTCTGCAAACAGTGGTTTACACATGAATGTGCATTTACTTAAAGCAGTCCATTCAAAATTAAAAAATGTAAATGGGCTGCTAACACACCACAATGCACATAAAACCGAACATGCGCCTTTTTTTTTAAGCAGCAGAACAAAACACATAGACGGTCCACATGCACATGAACACAGGCAGTACAAAATCCTACGCCCCCTGAAGGTGCAGTCTGACATATTTTTGACATTTCCTCTTAATATACCTTCCTAATAATGAATCATGGTGGCCGGCAGGGGGGGGTAAACATTCAGCTCATCTGATGGTTGCAAAAGTCATCAAAATGCCAGTTTGGGCCTGAATGGAGTGAAGGGATAAGAAGAGGGAGTAAAATGATAGAGAGACATCTTTATTACTGTTGCTAACACTGCATATTGAATATGTTTTTTGTTTTTTTTTTTTTGGTTTTTTTTATAAAGGTTTGATTTTTTTTTAAACAGTAAGTTACAGTAAAACTGTAAGGTACCACTTTTTTGTTATTTCTTATTAAAGGTTTCTCGCTGTTGTTATACACAAGTTTCAACTTATGTTGGTAAGTGAATGTGGTGGCAGAAGAGAATTCCTCAAGAGGTTCGGGGCACAAAAACTTCAGCTCAACACTGGCCCACTTTGCTGTTGTTGTCTATGCTTTCCAAGGAAAGATATTAACAGGTGAGATAAACTTGTATGTTCCCTAAGGGCTTGTTTACACCTCTCTTCCTAAATGCATTTTTATTAGGGCATTTTTAATTAATCTTTACGTGTTGTGAGAATGAAATGTTTTGTGCAGCTTTGTACATCAGAAGTCACATTTTTGCATTTTGTGTTTTACATGCACTTTACTGTATAAACATTTTTCCCTTTGAAACTGCAAGTTAACAGCAACAAGCAGACGTTTTAGGGCCTATTCACACACTTGAGGTGCAGTAACATGCATTTGTAATGCTGTACCATTCATTTTTATTGGCACACCAACATACCTTACCTTGCCAACACACCTGCAATGACATGCATTGCAATGCATTATAACACATTACCATGCACTGTAGTACAGTTTTGAAGAAAAAAATTTTGATGTATATCTATTTTTGTATGCTTGCTGTGTTGGCAGTGCATGTATTTGACACCTTGTATATTACTGCATGACACACACACTAACCCAGTGCACCAGAACACAACTTTATCTTCTATTACAGAGACAATTTTGCTAATAACATTTTTTTCTAGGTTAATGTTCATATTTTTGATTGAAAATATAGTTTTAATAAACATTTGCAGATACATAATGGGATGTACAAAATGAAGGATAGTATTATTTTTTTTTTTTTTTTTTGCTATATGTTCTGTGGTTTCAAAAATTATAAGCCTTGGAGGGTTTTCGTTAATGAACTTTTTATGACCATAACATTTTAACTGCTATATACTGTATGAAAACTAAAAAATTAGCTCATCTGAAAAAAGGTTGGCCATCTCCAAGCAGCAAAGGAGTTAAAGCGATTCTAAAGGTTCATTTTTTTTTTTTTTTTTTTTTTTTTTTTTTTAAATAACAAACATGTCTATACTTACTATGTGCAATGATTTTGCACAGAGCAGCCTGGATCCTCCTTTTCTCAGGCCCCATGCAGGCTCTTCTGGCAGCTTGCTATGGGGGCTCCCGCTGCTCCATGTCCATTCAAACAAGGAGCCACGGCTTGGCCCCGCCCTCCCCCTCTCTCCTCATTGGCTATGAGGATGCCAATGAGGAAGCAGAGACCCAGGACAGCCAAGGCAGTCATTCACATCGCGATGAGGCTCAGGTAAGTGTTGAGGGGGCTGGGGGCACTGCTGCACAGAACAGAATACATGAAGGTAAAAAACCTTCAGCCTTTACAACCACTTTAAAGCCTGACTCAAACTATAAATTATGCTCAGCTATTGGTGATTAAAACTAAGTTGCAAAACTATAACTATAATGATTTTAATATCAAATAAAACAAACATTGGACAAAAAAATAAACCATTCAACGAAGAGACTAGTTTAATAAGATAAACAAATGTCATATATGTTCTTGCTGACTTTATACCAGGCGCAATTACCAATTACATGACATTTGACTGATTACTTATTTTAAAATTTGTACCATACCTACTGAGCTGGCCAGAACTAGTTCTTGAGGGAATCTATTTCACATCTTCATAGCTTCCTGTGAAGAAGCCTTTCCATACGTGGAGGTTAATTCTCTTTTCCTCCAGATGTAAAGAGTGCCCCCTTGTCCTTTTTTAAAGTGCATACCATTACACCAAGTTCACTATATGGACCACTTATGTATTTATACATGGTGATCATATCCCCCTCCTTATAGCCTTTTCTCAAGAGAGAATAAGTTCAGTTTAGCTAATATTTCCTAGAAACTGAGCTCCTCCATGCCTCTTACTAGTTTGGGTGCCCTTCTCCAGTTCTTCCAATTTGCTTGCTTTAGAAACTATTTTTTACTATGCGTTTTACTTCCTCATTAAAGGATTGCAGATTTGTTTGAGAGCTCCGAGCTTTCATGAATTCATGCTGTCTATTGCTTAATTTATTGTACTCTAGCAAAAACCCTTCTATGTGGTATTCTTTTATCAAACTCTCAAGTACATTATATTGCCAAAAGGATTAAGATGCCTACCTTTTACACGCACATGAACTTTAATGGCATCCCAGTCTTAGTCTGTAGGGTTCAGTATTGAGTTGGCCCACCCTTTGCAGCTATAACAGCTTCAACTCTTCTGGGAAGGCTGTCCACAAGGTTTAGGAGAGTGTCTATGGGAATATTTGACCATTCTTCCAGAAGCCCATTTCTGAGGTCAGGCACTGATGTTGGACGAGAAGGCCTGTCTCACAGACTCCACTCTAATTCATCTCAAAGGTGTTCTATCGGGTTGAAGTCAGGACTCTGTACAGGCCAGTCAAGTTCTTCCACTCCAAACTCGCTCGACCATGTCTTTATGGACCTTGGATTGTGCACTGGTGTGCAGTCATGTTGGAAAAGGAAGGGGCCATCCCCAAACTGTTCCCACAAAGCTGTGAGCATGAAATTGTCCAAAATGTCTTGGTATGCTGATGTCTTAGAGTCCCCCTCACTGGAACTAAGGGGCTAAGCCCAACCTCTGAAGAACAACCACGCACCATAATCCCCACTCCACCAAACTGTACAATTGGCACAATGCAGTCAGGCAAGCACCATTCTCCTGGCAACTGCCAAATCCAGACACTTCCATCGGATTGCCAGAAAGAGAAATGTGATTCATCACTCAAGAGAACACGTCTCCACTGCTCTAGAGTCTAGTGGCTGTGTGCTTTACACTGCTGCATCCGATGCTTTGAATTGCACTTGGTGATGTAAGGCTTGGATGCAGCTGCTTGGCCATGGAAACCCATTCCATGAAGCTCTCTACACACTGTTGTTGTGCTAATCTGAAGGTCATATGAAGGTTAGAGGTCTTTAGCTATTGACTCAGTAGACAGTTGACAACTTAATTTTACGTGGCCTACCACTTCATGGATGACTTACTGTTGTTGTTCCCAGTTTCTTCCACTTTGTTATAACACCACTAACAGTTGACCATGGAATATTTAGTAGCAAGTAAATTTCACAGATGGACTTATTGCACAGGTGGGAACCTATCACGGTACCACTCTTAAATCCACTAAGCTCCAGAGAACGACCCATTCTTTCACAAATGTTTGTAGAAGCAGTCTGCATGCCTGGGCATTTGATTTTATACACCTGTGGCCATGGTTAGAGGTCTTTAGCTATTGACTCTGCAGACATTTTACATGGCCTACCACTTTGTGGCTGAGTGTCTGTTGTTCCCAGTTGCTTCTACTTTGTTATAATACCACTAACAGTTGACCGTAGAATATTTAGTAGCAAGAAAATTTCACAGATGGACCTTTTTGCACAGGCAGCAACCTATCACGCTACCACTCTTGAATTCACTGAGCTCCTGAGAGTGACCCATTCTTTCACAAATGTTTGTAGAAGCAGTCTGCATGCCTAGGTGCTTGATTTTATACACCTGTGACCATGAAGGTGATTGGAACACCTGAATCCATTGATTTGAAGGGATGTCCCAATACTTTAGGCAATATAGTGTATCTTCCCAACTATATAATTTAAACTAACTGGTCTGTAGTTTTTAGGTAAAGACTTTTAACCCCTTTTAAATAGAGGCAACACATCAGCCTTGCTACAATCTAGTGGTACAGCGTCAATCATTTTAAAGAGTATCTAAACATTTACTAAATGTAAATTAATTTGTATGCTAGCCTTTTGAATAAATAAAAGACCAAAAATAAGAAATGCAAGTCTGACTTTGATTCCCTTTTTTACAGGGTTACCTTATTTATCTTGAAGTTGGGTACCTTTCAGTTTGCACTGCTTAGGCCAGTACTTATGTTTTTGCAAGTCGTTCTTTGGAGTAATGGAACTTACATAATTGGTGATGTGAGTAATTTACTGGCTGATCTTTTAAGGCTAAACAAACAAGGGTGTTTTTGAGGCATTGCTGTTGTTTTAAGCTCTGTTGGCAAACAGATAATGCTTATCATAAGGCTCAATGAAGCCTATAGTTAGTAAGGCTGCTTTTTAGGTAAGTGACTGGCTTCTGTATGTGATGCATATTAAGGAGGACCTATTCTACTAATTTTAGACCGGTAAAAAAAAAAAAGTATTTATCTACCCAACAGTTACACCTGCTTTTGAGTTTAATAAAATTCTAGTACCACTAGCTCAGCCATGTTTATCCAACACTTAACAGGATTGAATGTTTTGCTTATGTATGCTCAGTCCAGCCCTCAAAATAATCATACCTAAAAAAAAAAAAAAAAAAAAAAAGAAAAAAAAAAAAAAAAAAAAAAAAAAAAAAAAAAAAAAAAAAAAAAAATAAAAAAAAAAAAAAAAAAAAAAAAAAAAAAAAAAAAAAAAAAAAAAAATATTTAACAAACATTATAAAATGTCTTATCAAACTACCCAAGAAGTCCAGGGATGTCTTCATAATTTGTAGTTGTTCTAAGATTACATGGCCACATTCACTACAGAGATGTACTAAGAGATGCTCAGCATGGTAAGGGCTCTTTCACATGGAGCCTCTTTGCTCCATTGAGCCAGGGACCCTTAAGTGGATCCCCTGCTGAATCCGAGCTAAATGGGATAGATGTCAGATTTTTGGTATGCGTGCCTGTTCAGTTTGTGTCCAGTGGACATGGTGGACCCATGATAGCTCTATGGGCGGCCAAATGTAAATGGACTTATATACATTTACATCAGGTCACCTCTGATCTGTTATATTTTTATATGTGTAAAAATGGAAGAGTGCAGTTGCTCAGTGTGAAAGAACCCTACGTTTTTCCTCTGGCAGCTCAGTCTTCTACAAATCTTACCAATATCATAAAATCATTTGTTGTCTCTGTCTTTAACATTTTATATATCTCTATATTTAGTATTAAAAATAATTATTCAATAGGAAAACCTAGAGCATTTCACAGCAAACAATAAGAATTCACCTTTCTCTGATATGATTTTAGTAAATTAAAACTAGAAATGTTCCACATTTCATTGTTTTTTTCCAATATTTGACTGAGTAAACACAAAAGAGTATAGAGTAAACAGCACGCCATTAAGATGATCATTTCCAATGTAATTTCAAAACATATTGATCTGTCCTTTTATCTGTATGTAGAATAAAGCTGTGAGGACCTAAGTAGTGTGTAAAAGAATGCAAGCATTTTGTTTTAATTTTATTTTGCCTAAATTCAGACATTTTTCTAAATTCAGTTATGATCAGAGATCACTAATTGTTGTTTTTATGAGACATCATTATGCAAATAACTCCAGAAGAATGATTTCTTTTAATATATTTTTTTTGCAGTCACGTGCAGAATCAGCCACACTGTACATAACCTTATTGCTCGCAACTACTACGCTTCTTGCACTTTGGGCAGTTGGAATTATGTTTAATCTCGTCAGACCTGTCTTAACTGATAAGAATATTATTCCAAAATTTGCTGCTTATCAGGTAAGATATTGGGAAGTAATCAATCTTGTATGAAGGTTACTTAACACCTTATAATCATGAATATAAGAGTCGCTGGACATGTGGACATGATAATTGAACAGTCTTTTTTTGACAGATAAACATAGGCACATGTTAAGGTACATATTAGGTACAATTTCGCTTGTCTGTGCTATCTGACTGCTGCTAGGTACCACCAACCCCTGGCAGCTGTCAAAAATAGGAAGGTTCTGGGAAGAGGGAAGAAGAAAGAACTGCAGACATTAACAAATGACACTGCTTATCACAATATCTATCAGGACAGGTTTTCTAAACTAGCAGGTTGATTTCTTCTTTTGGACGATCAGCTGGCAATCATACTCAGACCCATAGATCTGAAAACAGCCAAACTGGGCATTTGCATCTCATGTTTGAAAGCATGTCAGCACACCTATTTTATGTACTGAGCACCTACCCCAGCATCCAATTGGTATTGAAGAAATCATTGATTATTACTTGGCTGGCACTTCTGCCTTGCAGCACTAGGGCCCTCAATTTGAATCCCAGGACAGACACTACCTGCATGGTGTTAGCATGTCCTTCCTGTTCTTGCTTAAAGCAGAGCTCCACCCAAAAGGGGAAGTTCCACTTTAAGCCTTTGTCCCCGTTCCCCATTAAGGATTGGCACCTTTGGGAGCGGGTACCTGAATTTGACAGGTACCCGCTCCCACTTCCGCTGCGATCACCTAGGCCAGTGGTCGGCAAGCCACGGCTCGCGAGCCACATGCGGCCCTTTACACGTTTTAATGTGGCTCTTTTGTGCCGGGGCGCCCGCTCCCCTCCCTCCTCTTCGGGCGGCAGGGACTCTGCAGCGTGATCCAAAAAAAAAAAACAGCCAGGGCAGCGCGCTCAAATGCAATGATTGGCCAGTCTCGCTGCCACTCACATCCTGATAGCCAGTGATTGGCTGTCAGGATGTGTGTAGGCGGGGCAGCATGACGAACGTGAGGGGAGCTAGGCTTCTCTCACAGTCCGCCCTGAAGACCGGAACGGCGCGGGATCACGGCGAGAGGAACGGGCAGAGCAAAGGTAAGTGAATTGACACAGGGGGGACTTGGCTTACTACTTGCTACTTACTTACTACTACTATATGAGGGATGAATTAATATAGGGGGGATGAATTACTATAGGGGGGATGAATTACTATAGGGGGGATGAATTACTATAGGGGGGATGAATGAATTACTATATGAGGGATGAATTACTATATGAGGGATGAATTACTATAGGGGGGATGAATTACTATATGGGGGATGAATTACTATATGGGGGATGAATTACTATATGGGGGATGAATTACTATATGGGGGATGAATTACTATGGGGGATGAATTACTATGGGGGATGAATTATGAATTACTATAAAAACTTATTGAAACTAAAAACAGTGTACCATCCTATGTATTTTCAGTTTTAAAAATGTGTCTCTCAAAATAAATTTCAATCGTGGTTTTGGCGAGATTTGGCTCAGTTGAAAAAAAAGGTTGCCCACCACTGACCTAGGCGATCGGAAGCGGAAGTCGTCCTCCCTCCCCATAGTCTTCTGGGACACATGACAGGTCCCAGAAGACTACGGGGCCATTCACAAAGTGTAGCATTACTTGTGCATGCGCAGTGGGCACCCGACTGTGAAGCCGCAATCTGTCACTGCCGGGTGCCCACACTGAAGATGCCTGTACCAGGGAGAGAAGACGGTCGGTGAAACCAGTGGTGGTGAGGACACCGCTGGACTGAGGGACAGGTATTTATTATTTATTTATTTATTTCAGGTACTTATATAGCGCCATCAATTTACGCAGCGCTTTACATACATACATTGAGGAAAATAAGTATTTGAACACCCTGCGATTTTGCATATTCTCCCACTTAGAAATCATGGAGGGGTCTGAAATTTACATTGTAGGTGCATTCCCACTCTGAGAGACAGAATTTAAAAAAAAAATTCAGGAAATCAGTGTATGATTTTTAAAGAATATATTTGTCTTGCACTGCTGAACATAAGTATTTGAACACCTGAGAAAATCAGTGTTAATATTTTGGTACAGAAGCCTTTGTTTTCAATTACAGAGGTCAAACATTTCCTGTAGTTCTTGACCAGGTTTGCACACACTGTAACAGGGATTTTTGCCCACTCCTCCACACAGATCTCCTCTAGATCTGTCAGGTTTCGGGGCTGTCGCTGAGCAACACGGAGTTTCAGCTCCCTCCAAAGATGTTCTATTGGATTTAGGTCTGGAGACTGGCCAGGCCACTCCAGAACCTTGATATGCTTCTTACGGAGCCACTCCTTGGTTATCCTGGCTGTGTGCTTCGGGTCGTTGTCATGTTGGAAGACCCAGCCATGACCCATCTTCACTTCTCTGACTGAGGGAAGGAGGTTGTTGCTCAAAATCTCACAATAAATGGCCCCATTCATCCTCTCCTTAATACAGTGCAGTCGTCCTGTCCCCTTCGCAGAAAAGCACTATGATGTTACCACCCCCATGCTTCACAGTAGGGATGGTGTTCTTGGGATGCAACTCATCCTTCTTTTTCCTCCAAACACGACGAGTGAAGTTTAGACCAAAAAGTTCTACTTTGGTCTCATCTAACCACATGACTTTCTCCCTCTGGATCATCTAGATGGTTATTGGCATGTGATGACCTTTGAAACTGTGGTCCCAGCTCTCTTCATGTCATTGACCAGCTCCTCCCTTTGTAGTTCTGGGCTGATTCCTCACCTTTCTTATCAGTGATACCCCACGAGGTGAGATCTTGCATGGAGCCTCAGTCCGAAGGAGACTGACAGTCGTCTTTAGCCTCTTTTCATTTTCTAACAATTGCTCGAACAGTTGATCTATTTTCACCAAGCTGCTTGGCAATTGCCCCGTAGCCCTTTCCAGCCTTGTGAAGGTCCACAATTTTGTCTCTGGTGTCTTTTGACAGCTCTTTAGTCTTGCCCATGGTAGTACTTGGCGTCTGACTGACTGTGGGGTGGACAGGTGTCTTTAAAGAGCTCAGACAGATGCTACTAAGTTAGATTAACGAGTGGAGTAGAGGTGGACTTTTTAAAGGCAGAGTAACAGGTCTTTGAGAGCCAGAATTCTTGCTGTTTCTTAGGTGTTCAAATACTTATGTTCAGCAGTGCAAGACAAATTCTTTAAAAAGCATAGAATGTGATTTCCTGAATTTTTTTTTTTTTTAAATTCTGTCTCTCAGAGTGGGAATGCACCTACAATGTGAATTTCAGACCCCTCCATGATTTCTAAGTGGGAGAACCTGCAAAATCGCAGGGGTGTTCAAATACTTCTGTTCCTCACTGTATATTGTACATTCACATCAGTCC